GGAATTTTTCCTTTATGATGGTCTCTAGTAGGGTTTCTGTTCCTTTGGGACAATCTTCTTCTCTCTTAGGAATCTCTATTATTCATATGTTTGAATCCTTCAAAGAGTCTCATAGTTCCCTAAGCCCTGGTTTTACTTTCTCTCTCTCCTTTTCTGCCTCTTTAACTACCTGGGTTAACTTGAAGACTTTCCCCTCTGTCTCTGAGGTTCTTTCTTCTCCATGGTCTAACCTATTTTTGTTACTTTCTACTGCCTATTTACATTCCGTAATTGTCTCCTTCATTTCCTTAAGTCCTGCCATATCCTTTCTGTATTTTACATATCTTTCATCTGATTTTTGGTTCTGTCTTTCCATTTTCTCCATTCCTTTTATTGTCTTTATCATCCGTATTTTAAATTCCCTTTCTGTCAAGCCCATTAATTCTGTATCGGAAGAGTGTTCTGCAGTAGCTGCCTCATGGTCCCTTGGGGGAGTTCCTCTGTTTTGGTTTTTCTTGTTGCCCGAATTTTTCTGTTGGTTCTTCCTCATGTGTTCTTTCTTCTTGTTCACCTCCTTGTCCTCCTTTTTCCTTCTCACTACCTTCTTTGTTTCAAACAGAAGTCCTTGCTCTTGGTGACAGTATGTTACAATATGTTTCCAGGACATGAGGTGGTGCTGTGGGGTTTTTTAGGAGACAGAGAGTGCAGCAGGAACCTCTATGGTCCGTATTCCAAACTTAGTTGCCTTCAGTGATTGCCTGATTGTTTCCTCAGCCTTCAGATCCTGCCTGGTTGGGATCTTAAAGCTCACAGGAATCCTTCAGGGGCAAGTCTCATAGTGCTCCCTGACTCCAGTTCCTGTGGAGTGTGGGAGCCCCTCAACCTGTCCCAAGAGTGGAATGCTGATCCTGGTAGTCAGAATTAATACAGTCTTGCTTTAGATCCCTGTTGAGACCTTCTGACAACCTTCCCACAATGGTAGCCCATGGCCGCCAAGACCTCAGTATGGCTGCCTTACCAGACACCTAACCTGTAGCAAATCCACTCCAACCCCTCACTCAAATCTGGTTGCTGTATACTGTTCAAGTCTGCCTACCCTTCCAAGCTTTCCACTCAACTCACAGCTTCCCCCAACTAAAAACTCCAGAAAGGCTTCCTCCCATCCCAGACCTCTGTTGGGGCCCAGCCAATCCCAGCCAGTCACAATCACTTGTCTAATTCATCAGATTTCCACCACTCTGGATCATACGCTGTATCCAGCTCACCACCTCCTCCCTCTGCTTCCTGAGCTATAACTCTGAGTAAGGTCCCCATGCCAGTATGGCTGGTTCTCTCTTTTTCCCCAGTTCTAGGAGAGCTCAGCTGTATGATCCTTCTGGTCCCCCGTCTTGCTCCGCACTCCTTTGTCTCGTCTCTATCCCTCTTTTAGCCCTACTTTCCTCTGTATTGGCTCTCTTCTTAGAAAGGCTCTCTCCTCATGGTAGTAAGATGGCTGTTAGAAACTCTAGGCTGCATCTCATCCTCCCAGTATCCTCAGTGAGAAAAGACCATCTATCCAAAAAAATTTTTAAAAAATAAGTAAGTAATACAGTGTAACAACTCTGGAATCAGACTCTTCAGTGTCTTAGAGTTTGTTGTTGCGATGCTCATTGTTCTTGTTGCTGTTTGTTAGTGACTTTCCTGGACTGATTCTATAAAGTTGGTGTTCATGTCATGCATACCCATGGAAGTCTCTTATTTTGTTGGCTTAGTGTGCTCATGATTGGAAAGAGGTTTCCTTAGCTACCTTGGCTGGCATGTCTCCTTCTTACCAGCGGGCTTCTCTGTGTGTGTGTGTGCACGCACATGTGTGCTTGCACGTGTGTTGGGGCAGGTCCTCAGTGCTCTGACGGTTGATAAATCTTCCTTAGCATTCACTTCCTACTTGTACAGAGGCAGAGTTGACAGATTGGGACCTTCTTAATTCTTTGCTGGGCTTTCACACATCCCTATAAATGCTTGACTGTCTAGATTCCCAGCACTATGTTGGAGCATGGATATCTCACTCCCTATATTTTAAGAATCTCTTGGCTACAACCTTGTTTGCCT